TTTTTTCTTTTTGCTTATGTGGTGCTGAGGAATCGAACCCAGGGCCTCATGCATGCAAGGCAAGTGCTCTACCACTGAGCCACCTTCCCAGCCCTGCACTATTATTTATATATAATCTTGTATAGCTTTCTAGAAATTATTTTGAAATCATCAAAGTCTTTACTAGTCCATTACCTCTCACCTATAATTATATCTTTATTCTTGTTCATTATATTTATTTTCTTTACATTTATTCTTACTTACATGACAGCCAGTGATAAACATAAATATTTATATTAAGAATGTTCACTGAAATGTTATATAGAATGAGTGAAAATAGAAAATGATTATATATAAAACTAGAAATATATAACTATAATGGAATGTTGCCCAACAATTAGAAATAATATATGCAGTAAAGATTTACTAATGTAGTGAAATATTCATAAATGTAATACTTAATAAAATGGGAGGATAGAAAACTACACAGCATATTAATTTTATGAAACTATTTTTTCATAAAAATTCACTCTCTTATTTAAAATTTGGACAAACATAGAGGAAAATATCACAATGTTAACATGGTTGCCTTTGAGTAACTATATCAGGAATAATTTTCATTTTTTCATATTTTTCTATATTGAAAGAAATCTATAATGAACAGTAAAATTTAGGTAGAAAGATTTATTCTGAATTTTGTAAGTTCTAGAATGAATGAGCTTACCAAACATACTTAAAATATTAATAAGAGAGTAATAGTTTGGAGGTAGCCTTTTTCTAAATGTTTGTATGCAGCCTTCAACAAAAAAGCTAATCAGGAACATGAGGCTCAGAGTTCAAGCTCCAGTACTGACACAAAAATACACCAATCAACCATAAATAAATACCATTGTATTACAAAAAAGTTGTGAAACATCAACATAGCAGAAATAAGGCTGCTATTCTCAGGGTAAAGCTTTACCCTAGGGTAAAGTAATGAGGTCAAATTCCCATTGGGAATGGGATTAATTCTTAATGCTAATGTCATAGAGCGTGTCCGTTCTCAATAGAACAAACTACTTTACAGAAAGAACAAGACTGACTCCTTCTGGCTCTCTAGCTTCAAGTGTTGCAATATGCTTGTTTCGGCATGCTAATTATCTTTTTGCCTACCTATCTATTATGTTGCGATTCAGCAAACAGGTCCTCCACAGGAGGCTGGAACAGACAAGATGGTTTGATACTGAACTTTCAGTCTCCAAAAACAATGAGTTAAATAAATTGCTTTTTATTACAAGGTACTCAGTATCAGATCATTTGTTATAGTAACAGAAAATGTACTAATACACCACACAGTGCTATACATACAACACATAGTGCTATAAAACCCTTCTTCATCAAAAAAATTAATTTAGTGAATAAACTTAGTGGTTTTGATGAAAACTTCCTTTAAATAAGCAATAAGAGGCTTGAAAATCAGCTCATGGCTTATTCTTTTGATAAAGCCTTTCTCGTGGTTAAAAAAGCAAAGATGATGGTGAAATAAAAAGTACAATATACTGACCACTGGTGGACTTTTACTCTTCTCAATATATGTGAAAAGTTCATACAAAACCACTCCAAAGCTCCAAACATCTGAGGCCACAGAAAACCTGCTCTCTGTCAGTGACTCTGGAGCATACCTGTAATTCATAAAGAACATTTAAAAGTTATTTGATGTAGGGGCTGGGAAGGTGGCTCAGTGGTAGAGTGCTTGCCTTGCATGCATGAGGCCCTGGGTTCAATTCCCCAGCACCACATAAGCAAAAAGAAAAAAGCCGGAAGTGGCGCTGTGGCTCAAGTGGTAGAGCACTAGCCTTGAGCTGAAGAGCTGAGAGACAGTGCCCAAGCCCAGAGTTCAGGCCCCATGACCAGACCCAAAAAAAAAAAAAAGTTATTTGATGTGCCAACTCTTGATTTTTAATCTCTTGGAGATATTGTTTATATAGCTTATATAGAGTTTATATATGTATATATATACATATATATTTTTTAACACATCAGTCTAAAAACAGATCTCTATAGCCATCTCTGTAATAAAAGTAAACGCAAAAATGGAAACAAGATATTCATTAGCCACAGGCCAAAACTCTCTTGGATAGTATTATATTTAAAAAACTATTGATTAAACAAGGTACTGGTGCCTCAAGCCTGCATTTCTGGCTATTCAAGAGGCTGAAATATGAGGACTAAGGTCCAAAGCCAGAAAACCAGAGGCCAGAAAAAAAAAAACACCAAAACCCAAAAACCAGAAGTGGAGGTGTGTCAAGTCGCAAAGTGCCAGCCTTGAGCAAAAAAACTCAATCAGGAGCATGAAGCCCTGAGTTCAAGCTCCAGTATCGACATAAAAATACACCAACCAACCAACAAATAAAAAAATACCATTGTATTACAAAAAAAGTTGTGAAACATCAACATATCAGAAATCAGGCTGCTATCCTCAGAAGAGCTTCCTTAAAATGCTGACTTTTGAGTAGTGGCTTTCATGCACTTTCTATAATTCCTGAAACAAAAGTGACTCACTCTTCTCTCATTTAAAGAAACTTTTCCTTAGATAGTATCATCTACCTAAATACTAAAGATTCCTGAATTTATAACCATGGTTTTGATCTTTAATTCTCCAGACATACCCAACATTTTCACATTAAATGTCTAAGGGCAAACAGAACACCATTCCCACCTTTCCAAATATTGCTGATTATTTTACTTTCCTTATACAATGATTAGTGTCAAAATCTGTTTGACTTTGATTTTTATTTTTCCCAGTATTGGAGAATAAACTCAGGGCCCCTACTTGCTGTGCAGATACTATAACAGCCTCTTTTTGGATAGCTATTTTCAAAGTAGGTCATTGGTTTATTCTCAGGCCAGCCTGGGCTTCAATCTTTATCTTTGTTTCCCAATGTCCCAGAATGACAGGCATATGCCATTATATAAAACCACTGTGCTTCCTCAGTAGCTAAATGAAGTTTCATGAACTTCTTTTGGCCCAGGTTGGCCTAGAACCATGATGCCCTGATCTCTCAATTCTAAGTAACTAGGACTATACCATGCTGAAAATCTTAAGAATTATTTTTTACTCTTCATTTCAATGTCTAATGAGCTACCAATTCCTTAGATCCTTATGACCACTATGGAGATTGGCAAACCAGGTGCAAAGTAACCCCGATGGCATAAAGATTGCCCAAATGGTACTCTGTAGTAAGAACAAAATAAGGATCATCTGGTAGGCAATAAAATCCATGAGGCTCTTATCTCCAATTAACCACCAGAAAACAGGAACTGGTGCTATAACTCAAAGTGATAGAGCACTAGCCTTAAAAGGAAAAGGCACAGGGACAATGCCCAGGTCCTGAGTTCAAGCTCCACAATTAAACAAGAAGAAGAAGAAGAAGGATGCTCTATGCATCCTGAAACTATGCTTCAATATTTATAACTACTTAAGTAGAAGCTTTTCCTCTAGTTTTTTTTGTTTTAATTAATTGTACTAAGGAGTTTTAATTCAACAAGTTAGTGGATGAGTAAAATGCATCTTTCATCTTTTTTTCAATAAAATCGAAAAGGAATGGCCAGATGTGATAGGTCATGCCTGTAACCCCAAATACTAGCACAGGAGGAGACGGGGAGGATTGAGGTTTAATGCCAGCCAGGCAAAATTAATGAGACCTCCTACCATATCAATAAATAGTTGTCATGTGTGTCTGTGATCTCATCTAGGTGGATAGCATAGTATAGGTAGAATTGTGAACTGAGAAGAAATGTGAAACCTTACCTGAAAAATAATAAAAGCTAAAAAGGGATGACATGTGGCTCAAATGGTATAGTACCCTAACTAGAAGTATGAGGGCCTGAGTTCAGTCCCCATATAAAAAAAGAAACAGACTGCCAGCTAGCAGATAATTTTCATCATATTCCACTATATAGTTTTTACATATATACACATATGCATATGTATATGTATAAATATATCATGTGGTTTAGAAATAATTTTTTTTGGTGCCAGTTCTGGGGCTTAGGGCTTAGATGCTGAATGTTGCCTGACTTTTGCTCAAGGTTAGAACTCTACCCTTGTGCCAAAACTCCACTTTCAGCTTTCTGGTGATTAACTGGAGATAAAAGTCTCAGGGACTGTTCTGCCTGGGCTAGCTTTGAATCATGATCCTCAGACCTTAGCCTACTGAGTAGCTAGGCTTACAGACATCAGCCACCAGCACCCAGGTCTGGGAAATATTTTTATAACTAAATGAGTCAAATGCTCCAAAATCTGAAACAACTTGAGCATCATGTAAATGACATGGTTAGATTTCAGAGTATTTTGAATTTTCAGTTTAGGGCTCAATCTGTAATAATAATAACATATACTCCAAAGGTTGTTATGAGGATTAAATATAAAATAACCCATAAAATGTTTACTATTATTAAGCATTAATACTGTATAGTCAAAAATAATAAGAAAAATGAACTTTGTGTTATATGATTATATTTTATTTTGTTGATAAATACTGTACTCACCAGAATATGGGACTTTCACCAGGTTCTTTCACTTTATAGTATTCTTTGTCTTGTGGCAAGACTTTAGTTAATCCAAAATCTCCAATTTTAACTCTGTTCTCATTCTCTACCAATATATTTCTTGTTGCCAGATCCCTGTGGATGTATCTTTTCGTACCAAGATACTCCATACCCTGTGGGTGGAGAAAATAAAATTTTTCTTGTAGTTGTATAAGCATGATTTAAATGGTCTTGTTCCTTTAGTTCTTTTTATTAGCTAAGGAAAAGTTTACAGGATTTCTAAATTAGTTCAACAAGCTCATTTGGTCCACAACAAATAACTAAGATGTTAGATACCTTGCATATCTGAGATGTATACTGCAGAAGTTTTTTGTGATCTATCCGTTCTTTATGTTTTTGAAGATAGTCTCGTAAACTTCCATAAGGTAAATACTCCATAATTAATCTTAAATTACGCCGGCCTTTTAATACACAAACAGAACATAATACGTTACTACTTTATTATATTTTACTGATGAAATTTGGGGAAAAAGCATATATAAAAGACATATATATATGTATACACACATATATATATGCATACATGAATATAAGATGATAAATCTTTATTATAAGTAAAAAGTAATTAGTTGTTTAGAACACAAACCTTTTCTTTTTCATCAGAAATGAGACATTAATTAATGCAATTACTTTTTACACATTTATAATAAAAATCAAATGAAAACAACTGTTTAAGTTTTTTCATTTAAGTCTTTAACCTCTAGACCATCACAATGGAAAGCAAACTTCAGTAAGTACAGACAAAAGGCACTGGTATGCATCTGTTATTTTTGTAAATTGATAGTGCCTGTTAGAAGGGCTTTCAAGAGAAAGTAGCTCTGAACTCAGTTTTAATCTTCGCTAGTCTGATTCCAAAGACTGTGAAAATACTGAAATAGGAGATAAATGTGAGATTTTGCTTGGCAGGCTTTTGAAATAAAATAATGATCATTTCATACTGCTAGAAATTATTTTTATGCTTTAAGATTCAGTAATGATTTTAACTAAAACACCAGTTATTTTTTTTAAAAGCTTTAAAAGTTATAGACTTCTGTAACTCTTTCAGCTTAACTAATAAACCTTTCTTTTCTCCTCATTTATATTAAAGTGTATCTCTTCTAAAAATATTTTCATTAAAAATATAAGGAAATATCATTTCTTTTTTTAAAGAAAGTATACGCTTGTTAAAAGTATACTCTGGAAAAAGTGGTAAGGACTGGTTAACCAGCTAAAGATTTCCTGAGCCTATTATCACTACACTGCATCTCCAATCATTTAGAACATCTCTCTGGCATTGGCATATGCTAAGCCCAGATCTTCAAATAGTTTTATGTTTCTATTACCATTTGAATTTAACAGTTTCTATAGGCAACATACCAGCACTGTAGCACACTCCTTTGTACTTGACAATGTTGTCATGCTGCAGGGATTTCAAGATTTCAATTTCCCTTTCAAAATCTCTGAGGTGCTCTTCAGTACTGTGCTGGAGCTTTTTAACAGCCACTACCTCCCCAGTGTTGTCCTGCAGGGGGTCATATCGGCACATTTCCACACTTCCAAAATTACCCTAAACAACACAATGCATCGGTTGGAAGACTTGAGTTTTTCAAAATAAAATTACTAATGCTAATTATACATGAAGTCTCAAGAGCTAGAAGTAATAGGCATATTACTAAGCTTTTATTTGGCAAGTTTTAGAGCAAGAAAATGGCATGATTTCAACAAGATGGTATATAAAACTTAACTTCTTCAAAAGAATTATATACTGAAATATAAATTACTTGAAAAATGCATTCATACAAATGATGAATCATTTACTAATACAAGAGGAATGCTAGAGGATCCCTAAATTTTTATCACTCATTGTCAGGAAGAAATTTTCTTCTTTACAATATTCCCTTTGACATCATTAACAGTGAGGGTCTGTTATGGACTACCGTGTCCCCCTAAAATTTTTATGACGAAACTCTAATTCCCAATGTGGCTTGGAAATAGAGCCTTACGTAGGAGTGATAAATGTTAAATTAAGACATAAGAGTGAGGTCCTAATGCCTTATGGTCAGGCTAAAAAACAGAAACAGAGCTAGAAAAAGTCTTCACAAGAAACCAAACCCTGGTAGGTCTCTGATCTTATGACTTTTGAGCCTCTAGAACTGTGAAAACTAATAATGCTTGTTGTTTAAGTCAACCATTCTATGACATTTTATTATCATAGCCCAATCAAATTAATATACAGTCAATAGTCTGCTTTAAGAAATCAAGGTATTTGGGGCTGGGAAGGTGGCTCAGTGGTAGAGCGCTTGCCTTGCGTGCATGAGGCCCTGGGTTCGATTCCTCAGCACCACATAAGCAGTAAAAGCAGGAAGTGGGGCTGAGGTTCAAGTGGTAGAGCGCTAGTCTACAGCTGAAGAGCGCAGGGCCGGCGCCCAGGCCCAGAGTTCAGGCCCCACGACCAACAACAACAACAAAAAAAAAAGTTCAGAGACAGCATCCAGGCCTTGAGTTCAAGCCCTAGGACCAGCACAAAAGAAAAAAAAGAAGGCATTTTTAGACTATGGAATATATATATATATATGGAATATAGAGAGAGAGAGAAAGAAATACATATGAGGTCAGTTTTTAAGGAAATCCACTCTTAAGACATTACCTACATAGGATTGGTAAGCTGATACCTAACATTTAACGTCAAGTATAGGGTTTTGGCATTAATCCCAATTAGTATAGTTAAGGTATTATCGAATTCTCTAGGAATGTAGATCTTGAGCAACTTTATTTCCAGTTATGTACTTGAAATCTTCTTTAAAACCTAAACTATAGTTTGGAAGGACACAAAACCTAGGACTCAGGCCAAAACAGAACAGAGCTAGAATTTTGGTTCTCTAATTCATCTCATTGTGACCTTGGGAAGTTCAATTCCCTCTCTGAACATCATTATTTTTTTCCTCCCTAAAATAGAGACAATAAAATGTCTATCTCAAATTGGTATTTTTCAGAAATTACTGTAAAATAATATCTTAAAATTTAACACTGACAAATTAAGAGTTTTATATCTTTTCCCCTGAGTTAAACAGCTTCCTAGATTCCTGACTCAAAATACTGAAGATAATTAAGTGTTGCTTTTGGCCATTAAGGGTAATTTGTTACACACCAATACACCTAATATACCCAAGATATCTGAACTTTTTGTTCTCATTGCTACATTACTTCAAAGATAACCAAGAGTATTTTTTAAACAAAGATAAATGAGCAAAGTATTAATATGGCTAAGCAAATATTTTAGTATAACCTCCAATGTTTAGCTCTAGGGAAGCTTAACTTGGAACTTATAGTTTAATTTTAAGGCCTAAATGAGACTTTTATATCTATACCAAAATCTAATTCATAACAATAAATAATCTGGAAGCTTATACTTATGCAAGCAAGCTTAGAGGAAGAAGTGAGAGAGTAATACTGTGGTTAGACCTCCTAAAATGAGCCTTTTCTGGTCTTGCTTACAACCTACAGGCTATCATGACCTTGCCGGAGGCTGTCTTAGTGAACTTTATCCAGTCAATGTCCTAGGCAGCAAGCAATTAGAAGATTTTTTTTTCCCCTGAGATGTCTAAGGACAGGCAGAAATATTTGAGTATTCCTTTCTCTGTTTCACTAACTCACACATCATGAACTACAAGCTCCTGTCAAGCAAGAGTCCCATGGTCATAGCAATTTGTGAAGTATTGCCTCCTTTATCATCCTCTTGAAGATGTTCAATGTACATTATGTGTGACAGGCTCTGAGATGTTCTTCTGCAATGAAAGTTGCTTATGTAATACAAAATTTCTCTAATATCTGACAAGCCTTTTTTCTACAGATAACCCTTAAAATGGTCAAAAATGAATTTTAAAGATTCTTCAAAGCCTCTAGATATTTGCACACAGTGAGATGGAAGGAAGATTTCCTCAGGAGAGGAACACAAAGGTTCAGTGCCTATGTGCATCTGATCAGATAAAGTAATATTTATCTAAATGAACCCCAGGAAATGGAAACAAGATTTTTTTCTTTGTTGTGGGTTTTCTTTTCTTTTGTCTTGTTTATTCATTTATCTGTCTTAAGAAGGGCAAGAGGGGGAAACAGAAATGGAGAGACAAAGGGTGAAAAAATGGAGCAGTCATTAGACACTAACCTGAAAATGGAACTATACAACTTATGGGTAGACACCGGAGGGAAAAACTGGGAGAGAGCGAGGCAAGGGGTGACACTGTCCAAAACGAAGGGTACTCATTACTTGACTTACATAACTGTAATCCCCTCATCACCTTACTAATAACAATAAAAAAGAAAAGGATTATCTAAAGTCTTTTTATCTTCCTAAATAAAGGGTTGTATGACCATACTCTATTTGAAAAACTTGCGATAATTTACCTTCCCAAGTTGCTGTAGAAATTTCAAGTGTCTCTCTTCAAATTGTGTAGGGTCCCTGTCTTCAAAAGCACCAGAAAACCCTAGAGCACCTATCCTCAAGTTTGGTAACATATCATTTTCTGTTAATAGTTCATAATCTAGACAAATAAAGAATATCATTATCTTAGGTTGGCAAATACATTTTTGGGGTGAAATCATACATATTCAAGTTGATAAAATAATCACAATGAGTTAGAAACACTAAGTGATATAGAAAAACTAAAACCGGCTTATAGATTATATTAATGGGAACTTTATTTCTCATAACCTGATAGGTTCTTAAGAAAAATCTTTCAAAGGATGATTACTTTCCTAAAAGATAGTTTTAATATTCATAAAGGTTATAATGAACTACTAGTACTGAAGCACTTATTAAATACCTACATAACTTTAGCTCAATATCTAAAAGGAGGTTAGAACAAACAAGTCTACCTCATGTTTAGAAAATTAATTATAAAATAGAGTTGTTATTAAGAAGTCAAAAATCGAGTAAACAATAAAGAGTTGTTATTACAAAGTCAATTCAGCCAAATAAACATGCTGCTCATTAACTGGAAAACTAAAAACAGGCTAGAGTCTCAAACTTCCCTTCCATAGGCATAAATTGTGTTTTTTTTTTTCATTTAAAGGAACAAATGAGTAAAAAAAATTAGGTTACTGAAGGAGAAAAGGGCTTTTTTAAAAACAAAAAAATACACAAAGTATGAGAAGTTGTATCAGTACAAGAAGTTAAAAGGTCTTAGAAGACATCAAAGAACATCTTGGAAGAGATGGCAAAACTAGTAAAAATACAATAAAGATAGAAAGATAAGGAAGGGATCAATAGGTTCTCTCCAACTATACATACCTGGAGTAAATAAACTGTTAAGGTCCCGTATAATGGCTCTGAAAGAAGGCCTGAAATCTGATTCATAATCCATACAATTATTTATAAGATTTGCTAATTCTGTCCACTTTGGTGCAGGAAGCTGGTGCCTATCTTCATAGAACTGAAGCTTCTATAGTTAAAGAACAAAAAACTGAGAATAAACTTTATAATACTGTTAAACTTTCTATAAACTGCATAAACTTTCTCGTTAAAATGAGGTGGGCTAAGAAATACCAAATCATGTGAAAGAAATATAAAGGACCACAAAGTTTTTCTACCTCCATGGTCTGTATTAACTTACTCTTTGAGAATCGAGAGCGCTCAGAGGTTTATCTCCTCCACTGCAGATTTCCCACAAAGTGGTACCAAAACTCCATTTGTCTGTTGCCAAATTTAGATTTTTAGGATTTTCAATGCATTCAGGTGGTACCCATGGTATTCTCTCCTGAAGAACTTATAAATAACAGAACAAAAGATAAGATACATAACCTCCACAACACCATTATTCTATAGGCAAATTATTTTCAAATTCACCAAGTCTTTTTTTATTATTTGAGAAGGACTACCCCTGATTATGTTTAGATAAACTTAAGAGCTTTTGGGTTATCTAATTCACTCAGTTTTAACAATAAGGACATGGAAAGGCATAAAAACATTAATTTGCTTAAAGTCACACAATTTGTTAGCAGCATGATAGAATTAGAATCTTGTACAATAAATTCCACACAACTAAACTTACTTCTATTACACAATAGTGTCTCAACTGGCATATCACTTTCTCTACACCTTCTCATTAATCCTGTCCTCATCTCCATTTACAAAGTTTGTCCTGAAACTATCTCTCAACTGTTTTTTTTAACAAATATGTAAGTAGTAAAACTAATGGGGACAAAAATTTTAATAACTTAATAGCAGTGGCTATTATAATGAAGATGAGCAAGCTCCACAGGCATTTATCATTATGGCAGATGAACGACGAAATTATTTTGAGGTACTATGGGTATAGAATTGATACTGCTCAGATAATGGAATTTCCCAAATGAAGTTTCTAAGGGTCATTATAGCACTACAAAGATAATAACCAAAGAAAGAAGAAGCAAAAGAACTCTGACTTCCAGGTATTCTGACACATATCAATGAATATGAGGGATAATCTGCAATATATTTTGGTATGTTTCAGTAAAGTAATACAAATATTTTGCTGTATAAACAAGGCATTAGGGCAGCAGGGGTGTGGTTCAAATAAATAGTAAAATGTCAACTTTGAGCAAAAAAGCTAAGCTAAGCTCTCAGCTCAGGCCCTAGTATCAGCACAAAAATAAATAAATAAATAAATAAATAGTATTAAAAAGAACACTGAGTTCTTTCTCCTTTACCAAGTGAATATATTTATTTTCTATTCAAATAAAGCAAATTTCCCCAAGTAGGAGGTCTAAGATTGTGCAAGATTTCTTCTTTATAACTGTCATATTATAGTCTTCACTGTTGGATAAGGTACCAAGTATCATAGTCTCAAATAGAATACTGTATGTCAATGCATAAACTGATTGTATGAGTCTACATTTAGAACATTCAATTAGAAAAAAATAGTTCAGATAGTGAAATAGCAATGTCGTTTGGACTCTCCAAAAACTATTTAACTGAAAATTTTACTTTTAGGTTATTATGTCTAACAAGATTAACAGATGTAAGAAGGTTTTTTAAAGCAACTTTTAAAACATCAGAAATAGCTGAATAAGTTCTAAGGGCTTGATATATTTTTTCAAACAGTTTAAGAACAGTTTGAGAAAATATAATGTAAAAATAAATGAAACTGCATCTTCCATACATAACTAGGGATAAAATTGTTTTTAAAAATTATCTCAAGTCAATGATGACATGTCTCTAAGAAAGAAGGAGAGAGACCAGGATGTACCTGTAACTTAATTGAAACTGCTACAAGTGCCAGATAAACATTATTAATCAAGAGCACATGAGTAATAGAAAGTTCAAGGAAAACTGAACATGCTTTTTATGTTACTACCCAAGCAATATTTAATGAAGTTAAATGAAATCCCTGTAGAACTTACTGTCCTTTGGTAAAACTGTAATGCTAATGCCAGGATCACTAAGTTTGATGAAAGGAGGATTTCCTGTCTTCCTGTCTTCTTCTCTGATAAGTAGAATATTTTTGGCACATACATTCCCATGAATAATGTTTTTTTCTTCCTATTAAAGTTAAATGCATGTATATTCAAATATCAACTCACAAATATTTGAACATTTCATGTTTAAAGCTCCAAGACAGAATAAAGAAGCTATATAAGACAACATACAAATATTAACTTAGAGGCATGTTTTGAGACAACAGCAGAAAATTTCCTGGTTTATCCTTTAAATGACACAATAATCCATCATAATGAAGTGAATAAGTTAAATCTACCCAGTATTACTCTACTTCTCAGAGCTGAAATTCTAAATGGTAAGTCTTTCTAGATGGCAGCTGACATTAGGAAATACTGTCTTCAGCTCAGCAGCCATAGGTTTACTCGGGGGGGGGGGGGGGGGGGTTAGAATAACTGGCTGTCACTCCAGTACTCTGCTTCTCTGTCAATTCTGCCTTCCCATAATGTTCCAATTGCCCTCAAATATCATAATAAGGCATTTTCTGCTATCCACAGTAATGTGTTTCTGAATATTTTTTGGCTAAATTTGCTAACCCCAAATGTTAAGAACTACAGGTTCTCTATCAAGAGGAGATTGATGGGATGACAAAGCTATTCCTTTCCAAACAGATTTAACATAAATAAACATATTCCTGAAGTAATCCCTTTTCAACACCTAACAAATTGTTTTGAATGACTTGGCATCTATTCAAAGATTTGTTTCTTAGTGCTAGGACAAAATAATTTCTACACTGCTCATAAGATAAAGCAAGTTTTGGCAAAAACAAAATACTAATTACTTACTAGAAAATGCATGGCCCATGCCAACTGCTTAGCCACTCCAAGTTTCCATAATATATTTATAGAACTTTTGTTCTTTTTCAGATATGTATCTAATGATCCAAATTTTACAAACTCCTGAACCAAAATATCTGTATTAAAATATAGGTAATAATAAGTCTTAAGCATATGTATTATATGTATTATTTAAACATAAAATTCAAACTTTTTATAAGTACATTTATGTTGCATGCAAATACGATGGGTAAAGAAATTAAACAAAATTCATTTAAAAGCATAATGGATTTACACCATGTACATTAAGTTTATATTTATTCATGATGTGATGCAGGAATAAACAATTAAATATAGATTATATAATTACATGTAAATATACAACATACATTTTACTATACAGAGTACAACGTAATGTAATATATAATTACTCCAATATACCTGGAGACTATATCTAATAGCAGTATACAATCATTTCAGTCAGATCAACTGCTAATTCAGTCTGTCAACTATATGCTATAACCTCCTAATTTCTAATAAGTGTGTATGGAAAGAGCCACTGCTCAAATATTATGTTTAACCACCATAATATGCACTACTATGGTGAACAAAAAAGCTGCACATTTATTATAATAATACTCTAGCATTTGGGCATTAATTGATTTCTGTGTTTTAAATTTCACCACTTTTTTGTGTAAGATGTAACTGAACAATCATATAATGCTGTTAAGTTCAAGGATATCTAATTTGCAATAAAGTGTAGTTTACATTGATCCCTGTACCCTGAAATTGAATTGTTTATATAAACAACCATAGATTCTCTGAAAAAGACATGGTATTAACATAAAAAGCCAGTGTTTTACTTACTCTCCTCTCCACAGACACATACTCCATAATTTAAAACCAAATGCTTGTGAGAAAGTTGGCTCATCATGCTTGCTGCCTCAAAGAACGACTAAGGAAAAGAAAAATAATGCTAAAGAATTATTATTTTACTTATTTATAAATATAGAGATAAAGAAGATATTCATTGTCATAAAAGAAATGCACTTTCTTCTACTCTTAGCAGGTTACAATACGCTTTGGTCCCTTAATATGGACTTGCAAGTGGCATCAACCTTGATGTTAGGGTTTATTCTGAGGAAATCTCTTAGTAAATGTGAAATGTGGAGATAGCACTGAGAGAAAGCAATAGTGGCTGAGGACAGTATGAATAATGCAAGTCAAACAGGCTTAGACTGTAACACCTAGAATAGTTACTGAGTAAGAACTAGAGGTAGACAATTCATATCATGATATGAGACTGAGGTAGATTAATGTAAGCTCTAAATAATGGTTCCTCAGGGGCTAGGGAGGTGGCTCAGTAGTAGAGCGCTTGCCTTGCATGCCTGAGGCCCTGGGTTCGATTCCTCAACACCACATAAGCAAAAAGAAAAAAAGCTGGAAGTGGCGCTGTGGCTCAAGTGGTAGAGTGCTAGCCTTGAGCTGAAGAGCTGAGGGACAGTGTCCAGGCCCAGAGTTCAGGCCCCACGACCAGAGCCAAAAATAAATAAATAAATAAATAATGGTTCCTCAATAACTAAGAATAGCTTTTGCACAGATAAAGTATGGAACTTATATGAGGATGCTCTCATAGTATTAACATCATTCTAACTCAACCAATCGTTGACTAGAACTTCTGGTTACGATCATTCAGAGGATCATAATCACTAGCAATTTCATGCTCTAGATTAGAACTCCTCATCTTGCTTGTTTCATATCCTCTTCCATAACTTCCTTTTAAGACATCATAAAGATCATGAACTTGTGTTGTATCTCTAGATGATTCTCAAAGTCAAGTCATCCGCATTTCATTCAGTGTTCCTAACTACAGTGTCATATACACTTTTTCTTTTTAAATAGACCAAACTGTAAAGGCACCTCTATGAAACCATAAAATCCTGGGAAGCCATGTTTAAAAGCAGCTGCTACAGTGTAAAATTGAGATTTAATAATACTCATAATAAAATTCTAAAAATAGTTTACAAACATTATTGTAAAATCTTATAATTTTCTATAGCCATATCAGAAGTGTCAGAAAGGTCTTATAGATATACATTTAAATTACAATATTTTGAAATGCTTCATGCATGAAAATTATGTGCACATGAGAACACATATTTATACGGCATAAACTACATTAACTACCCAAGAATATACATACCTCTGAATAATTTCTATGTGCTTTATCCAAAACTTTTAAGAGAACTTCTGTTTCATGTAATTGGCCATAGTCTCCTACTTCTCTTCTTAAGCCTTTAAAAATTTTTGTAAAAGTTCCTTGACCAAGGCTTTCATTCTGTTAAAAAAAAAAAGAAGAAGAAGAGGAAAAGAATGAGAAGATGGTAAAAGATGGGAAATATGTTCACTGATATTTTTTAAATTAAGGAAGCATTTCTCTTATAAGCTATGCCTAGAAATTAAACCATGGCTTGAAATTCATTTTTTATGCTTCCTTGAGTGATAATTAAAGACAGTAAACAATAATGAATAAACTATATTTTTACTCCATCCTACTTTAAAATCTCCTGTAATGACTAATCACTTTTTTATTAATTTTTATTATCCTCAAATAGTTCTACAATGGGGTTTCAATTTAACATGTCAAATTATGTATACAACGCATCTTGTTCAATGTCACACCCTCCATCTTAATCTTTCTTAAGACTCAATATTTAAGCCAGGCGCTGGTGGCTCATGCCTGTAATCCTAGCTACTCAGGAGGCTGAGATTTGAGGATCACAGTTCAAATCCAGGCTAGGCAGGATCGTCCGTAAGACTCTTTTTCCTTTTTTCTTTTCTTTTTTTTCTTTTTGTCAGTTGTGGGGCTTGAACTCTGGGCCTTGGCACTGTCCCTCCGTTCTCCAGCTCAAGGCTAGCATTCTACCACTTGAGCCACATCGCCACTTCCAGCTTTTTCTGTTTAGGTGGTGCGCTGAGGAAACAAACCCAGGGCCGCATGCATGCAAGGCAAGCACTCTACCCACCTTCCCAGCCTGCGTGAGACTCTTATCTCCAATAAACCACCAGAAAACCAGAAGTGACACTGTGACTCAAGTGATAGAGTGCTAGCCTTGAGCTGAAGAGCTGAGGGACAGTCCCAGGCCCAGAGTTCAAGCCCCATGACTGACAAAAAAAAAAAAAAGACTACAGAAGAGTCATTAATTTGTTTTTCATGTTAGTGAAATAAAATGATCCGTATGGTCTATGAAGATGCAGCTGATTTTTTTCCTTTTACTACTTACTAGCTGCTTAACCTTGTACAAAATATTTAATCTCTTTATACTGCAGCTATCTTAGTATCTTCATCTGAAGAATGAAGATCACAATTTTCTCACTGTACTGTTTTGAACATGAAGTAAATAAATACATGAAAGCACTAACACATTTTAAAAATGTGATAGCTGTAACTATTGGTATTGGTATTCCATGGTCAGAGATGTTGAACATTTCTTCATGTGTCTATTGGCCATTCTTATTTGTGCTTCAGAGAAGCCTCTCTTACTTTAGCCCACTTAAGTTCTTAGTAATGAAAAAGTGACTATCCCAAGAATTTATAATCATAAGCTTTTGAGTTTAACTACCTAGTCTTAGAGAAGCTAAACCATGCTATAGTTTAGCTATATATGCTAAAATCCAAGCTGTACTTTAATATTTTATGCTTCTTATTACCCGCATGAGAATTCATACCTTGACAATTCTTATCTGGTCTTCTAATCTATTATCTTCTTATAGAAGTCTGAGTTCAGTTAGTCTTTCTCATTCTACCCTCTCATTCCATCCAACTAATTTCTAAGTTATAATTCTTATTTCATTCATCCTATCTGCTGCATTCCAAGGATTTCTTCAAGTCTGTAATTCAGTTCACTGACTCTCTATTCAGTTATGAGTAATCTGATTCCTAATCTGTTCACTTAAATATCAATGAGCACATTTTTCATTTCTATGCTTTTCTCAAAAAAGTTTGCTCTTTAAAATTGTATTTTATAATTATATTTTAAAATTGTCTTATTTTCCTATGTTCTTAACTCCTTTTGATTCTTTAAACATAGGTGTGTGTTCTGTAGTCTCTACTTGAAAACTAAATGAAGTTATTGAATTATAATTTTGGTTTGATGACTCTTGCTTAATCCTGGAGTGTTTCCCTGTATGTTTCAAAATTTTTAATTAAAAACTAATGTTTGGAGTAATTTTATCTGTGGGAATCCTGGGTAGCCTAGGTTAAACAGGTTCTTCCATAAAGGAATCTGCATGTCTTTCTCCTAAGGAAATAAAGAATACTACCTTTAATCTCTTGATTTAGCATCTCTTAGACCATATAGGTAGTTAAAACTCAAAAGCTTATGATTATAAATTCTTAGGATAGGCGCTTTTACATTACTAAGAACTTAAGTGGGCTAAAGACTTACAAAGAGACTTCTCTGAAGAGGAAGTAAGAATGGCCAATAGACATATAAAGAAATGGTCAACATCTCTGATCATAAAAGAAATACAAATCAAAACCAATATTGAAATTCTACCTTATCCCAGTTAGAATGGCTATACTCAAGAAATCTAGTAACAGATGCTGGAGGGGATGTGGGCAAAAGAGAACACTACTATACTCTCGGTGGAGTGTAAATTTGTTCAACCACTCTGGAAAGCAGTATTGAGGTTCCTCAAAAGACTCCACACAGAGCTCCCCTATGACCCAGCAATCCCACTTCTGGGCATTTACCCAAACAACCACAAACAAGGGTCTGTAAAGCTACCAGCACAACTATGTTTATCACAGTATTATTTACCATAGTTAAGATTTGGAATCAACTCAAATGTCCCTAAGTAAATGAATGGATTAAGAAAATGTGGTATACGTATTCAATGGAATTCCATGCCTCCATCAACAAGAATGATACTTCCCCAATTTGTAAGGAAATGAAAAGACTTGGAAAAAATTGTATTAAGTAAACTCAGCCAGACCTAAAGAAACATAGATCCCATGGTTTCCCTCATTTGTAATAATCAATATATGGTTAGGATAATCCTAACAGATGAGCAGAATAGCTCAATAGCTATGTACATATGTCCATATAAGATGATGCTAAGTGAAATGAACTGCAAGACATAGATACAGGAGGTTCTTCTTTATTGTTGTTGTTTTTAATGTACTATGTGATTTCCTTTTTCTTTTGTATTTTTTTCCTTTTTACTATGGTTTATCCCATTTGTCACTGTATTTGATTTTGGTACCCTGTGTATTGTATATACGTTTATCTGAAGTTGGAAAGGGAAGGGGAACAACAAACTGGTGAGACTAAGGACAAAGGACAAAACAATGCAACAGTGATACTCACAAGACAGTATGTTGGAAACGAACTGTATAAATTGAGGGGAGGTTGGAGGGAGGGAACATGGGAGAAAAATGAGGGAAAGGGTAACAAGTTCTATAAGAAATGTACTTGCTACCTTAAATATTTAACTGTAATCCCTCTGCACATTTCCTTGACAATAACATTTAAAAAATAAATAAAGGAACTGAAGTAAAATAAGTAATGTTCTTCCTTTCTCTTTTGCTTGAAAGTTAATTTTTCACTCAAGAAGTATGTTCTTCAGAATCCTTGCATTCAGCAGGGATTGTCTCACTTTTAAGTACTGGCCTCACAAAAGCTTACTAACCAGCCCTTTTTCTTTGTATAGTTTTTAATTTTTAGAAGATAAAACAGTCTAAACTCCACATCCATCAAAGCATCAGCTCTAGTAAACTATCCTGAGTTCCTTAAAAAAGAATACTTTGGAAAGCCAGGGAAGGAGTGGCGCTGTCCAAAAAGAAATGTACTCATGACCTTGACTTGTGTAACTGTAACCCCTCTGTACATCACTTTTAAAATAATAATCTTTTAAAAATCTCACAAAAAAGAATACTATGAATTTCCCTTACTGTCTTGAGAACTTTAACAATTTATAAGGAAATATTTAAATATCTGAAAAGAGAATATAATTCATTCTTAATTTTTTTCTTATTTCTAACACAAAGTTGGCATATTTCTCATAACATATAAAATGTTTAAATTGCAAGCAAACTTTATCATATATGTTATAACAAAATAGTTCCAAATATCACATAAATATAATACAGGGTAAGAAATCAAGAAGAAAGAAAATGATCATTATTTAATGGCTTACAAATATCAAGTCTTCATTTCTGATTTTGTGAAATACCATTTGGTTCACATTATTATGCCTCTGTAACGTTGGTGAGTTTGGCACATCAGAAATGCCATTGGTTCTGAAGACTAGAAGATTGGATTTATCTGAAAAATAACAATAAGATACATATATATATGTATGTGTGTGTTGATATGTGTGAGTGTATCCATCAAAACACATTAAAAATATGACTTGCTCCAAAGAAAAGTAAAATGAATGTATTCTTTTTTAATTTTATTTTAATCTTTAAGTAGTTGTGCAAAGTCATTGTCATTCAACAAGTAGCATATGAATACAATAAATAATAGTTGTTCACTGTTCATCTTTTTCATATAAAATTATTTGCCTTTTATTCATTGAACTTACCAATTATTTCACACATTCAAAATTAGGATCACTTATTTAACTAATACAGTTTTCCAAGGGGTTTAATAATTAATTGTATTATTTCAAGGAATTTCCAACCTTACTACCTACTTTAAAAGTGCAGACATTAAAATTTTAAAAACTGCATGAAAGTGCTTATTTAAAACACATGAGCAAAATCTGGTAGTAAAACTGTCCAGGTCCATATATGACTAATTATCTTTAAAATGCAATTTTAAAAAAATAGAGTATCAAGCCACTAACAGCAAACCAAACAACCTGATCCTACTTAATGCTGCTTTGTACAACAGAATGATACAAAACTAATTTGTTTTTATAAGTGCTTCTTTGGTATTTCTTTTCAAATCAGTGTACTAAAGTTATCTTCTACCACATACATAGCCCATTACCAGTATTTTTTAAATAACTAGATTTATTTTTTACCTTTTGGTTTTGGGGGACAGCATTTAGTAAACTGGAAAATTATATTGTCTGAGCGAACAGTTTCCATCTGGTAGCAATTCAAAAGATCTTTAAGATTGCTGAAATTTTTCTTAGTCCCACTGAGGTTGTACTTTCTATTCTCATTTTTTGTAATTAAACAGTGTTTATATTCAATGACGTTTTCTCTCTATATAAGTTTAATTATAAAGAGAAGGAGGGAACGTTACAATGGACAGCATAGTAATTGTTTTCAGAATATTTAAACATTTAAACAATAAATCATAAAGCAGGGTACAGTCAAAGGCCCTTGGCTTCTCAAGAAGGCATTTAATTAGCATTCCATATCCTACAGAAGTAGCTCACAAATACACTCTATTAAAACAAAGTAAGAAAGCAATTAGTACACTTTCTAATTTTTGTTTTCCAAAAGATGTTTCTTGAAGATAGGTTTATATCATATAACATATAGCATACATACATCTTCTAATTTATATCGTTCATATTAGGTGAGGCACATACAGTATAAACACAAAATTCAACACAATTGATTGTCATAAATTGTAGTAAGCGATATTCTAAAATTAGGATTATTAATTTTATACAATGGTGAAGTAATGGCTTCATCTGCCTTTAATAGTTCATATATTAATCCATTCTCTGGATGTGCTAAATGCAAGATGGTTACTTTTACAAAACCAAGTTAATAACGAAAGTCTTTACTTTTTAAAAAACAAAATAAATTTTCCTGCTGCTATAAAAAGATTTGAGCCATGAAATTTCCTAATAAATGACAGTATCTTTTAAGAACTTGTGTATAGTGCATAATATTAGATGAGAGTCAAGATGATGTGCATTTAACAGAGGCTTCTTTGCAGTTTTACAGTTCAAGCATAAATTATATACAGGATTATAGTCTTAATACTGGGAAATTACAAGTTAAAAGTGCTATGGTGTTTCTGTTCCTTTGTTATTGTTCTATTTTTCTTAATTAGCAGCCACTGCTAATAAACAGAAATTTGCTTCCAATTAATTTTGCTCCACAGAATATGGCAAAGAGTTCTACTTTTGGTGACAAAGTATTTTACAAACTGGTTGCACATATAATTTTATGTTTACATAAACACTAGGAATTATTTATGCAGAATTTTTAGATAAGTTAATAATTATGATGCCAGTTATCATACCCAGAGTTATAATTCTGAATTAAAAAGAAAATAATACATGATAAGCACTAAGGACAAAGTATAGACTAAAAAACATGTTAGCATAAATAAATGTGCCATACTAACCTCAACAGCAAAAGTCAAAAAATACTTATTAAAATCCTTAGGACTGCATCGAAGTACATATAGACCAATTTGATTACCTGCTTTCTTCAGTTTACTAATGGCAAAGTCCATTCTGAAGATTAAAAAGAAATAATATGAATGACCACAAGCACCACTGCATGATGATCAAATGATATGTAAGAAATCAGAAGTCAGATTTAAAACTGAATTTTTAGAAGATCAGTCTATGATATACTTATCAATAATCTTGCAAGGGGGGAAAAATCAATTTATCAAGCTATTTTGCAGTAAGTTCAAACCAATTCAAGGAACAATTATATTACTTCAGAAACTCCCACAAGATATTATAAGACAATAACCATCAAAAAGAAAACTCATTGAATTTTCTGCTTTCTAATTACAAATCTAGTATTTTAAGCCATATTCATTCTTATATAATTCTATTAAACTATGCAGAAAATGTCTCTTAGCTCTATTATAACAGTTACTAATATAAAAATTGTGTGCATTATTTTAATATAATTTTAAAGTCTAATAGTAACTGAAAAACTCTACTGAATCTTAAAACTGGTTAATGATTGTGAAGGTACACAATGGTTCTAATTGTAATGTAATATGATTTATGCAAACAGATTTTTGTTAGTGGTGGTGGTGGTCATGGGGCTTGAACTGTGGACCTGTGGGTGCTGTCCCTCAGCTCTTCAGCTCAAGGTTAGCGCTCTACCACTTAAGCCACAGCGCCACTTCCGGTTTTCTGGAGGTTTTTGGAGATAAAGAGTTTCACGGAAGGGCTGGGAAGGTGGCTCAGAGGTAGAGCGCTTACCTTGCATACATGAGGCCCTGGGTTCGAGTCCTCGGCACCACATAAGCAAAAAGAAAGAAGCCGAAGTGGTGCTGCGGCTCAAGTGGTAGAGTGCTAGCCTTGAGCTGAAGAGCTGAGGGACCGCGCCCAGGCCCAGAGTTCAGGCCCCATGACCGGACCCCCCCAAAAAAAAACAAGTTTCACGGCTACCCTCTGCCCCCCCCACAAAAAAAAAACAAGTTTCACGGCTTTTCTTGCCCAGGCTGGCTTTGAACCATGATCCTGAGATCTCAGCCTCCTTGGTAGCTATGATTACAGGTGTGAGCCACCAGCGCCCGGCTGCAAACAGATTTCTAGTAGAAAATACATTTCTTTTTGGGGGGAGAAGGGGGTCTGGTCGTGGGGCCTGAACTCTGGGCCTGGGCGCTGTCCCTCAGCTCTTCAGCTCAAGGCTAGCGCTCTACCACTTGAGCCACAGCGCCACTTCGGCTTCTTTCTTTTTGCTTATGTGGTGCTGAGGACTCGAACCCAGGGCCTCATGCATGCAAGGCAAGCACTCTACCATTAAGTCACATTCCCAGCCCGAGAATAAATTTCCTTTCCAAACCCTTAAACCTACATGTATTGTATAAAATCTTCTTTATAAATATAGTTGTCCCTTGACATCAGTGGGGATTTGGTTCCAAAACCCAAATCTTAGGATATTCTCTTATACAAAATAGCAAAATTTGCATGTAACCTATGCACATCCTCTCACAAACATTAAATCATCTTTAGATCACTGATGAGATATATGATAATGTAAATTCAAAGTAAACATTGTTCTATTGTACTGTTTAGGAAATAATGAAAAGTAAGTATATGTCCAATACAGACACAACTTTTCAAAACTATGTTTATTATATGGTTGACTTAATTCATTGATGTTGCAAGTATAACTGACTATAAATAACTATAATTACAAATGTGCTATTTTATTTTATTTTTTCATCCGTGGGGCCTGAACTCTGGGCCTGGGTGCTGTCCCTCAGCTCTTCAGCTCAAGGCTAGTGCTCTACCACTTGAGCCACAGAGCCACTTCCAGCTTTTCCTGCTTATGTGGTGCTGACAAATCAAACCCAGAGCCTCATGCATGCAAGGCAAACACTCTACCACTGAACTACCTTCCCAGCCCTAAATATGCTATTTTAAAAATTTATATATAAAGTTTGTATTACTCACGAGATTGGACCATGGCAATTGCTTTGTATATTTTCTAGCACTGCAGGTGGTGCTACTTCTTTACAGAGGTAATGGTGTGCATCTGCAGTTAATCTATAATACCCATCAATTAATGACACAAATGATAAAGCTTCTCTTAATGAATTAAGTTCAATTTCCTAAGAGAAAGAAAAAAGACTCATGTCATTTGAAAGTCAATTGAATTCTAAATGCTGAAATTTCTCTACACCCCACATTATTGCATTAATTCTCCTAAATTAATTAGAATTTTTCAAATATGACTCCAAATTCCCCAATCTACATGACAAATTCTTATGTCTGTTACTTAAAAGTCTCTCAAATATTGGATTATCATGTATTTCCAGTTACAATTTACTCCACATACATTAAGTCTACTGTATTTTATAATAATCCTTTAAACCAATGTCAGTTACCTCTTATAGAAATGGGATCTGATAAAAATTTAGTATTAATTAAAAAGCCTGAGTATTTACTTTTACACACCAACACCATACTGCTAAGACTAAAATATTCGTGCTTAGAAACTGAAATATTAGAATATGTAGCATGCACATATATACATTTGTATATTTATATTTACATATGTGAAAATAGTCAATTTTATAAGAGAATTAAAGAGAAAGCCTCATTTATAAACGTAGATGTAGGAGGTAGGATTAAACGTGTGAAGCGATTACTAGAAAAATTTCAAAACATTCTTACACAATGTAACCTTTTTTCTTGGCAGTACTAGAATTTGAACTCGGAGCCTCAGGCTCTAAACTTAAAACAATAAAAATTAAGAGCTGAAATTTTTAGATCATGAAACCAAATTTAAAGTCTTAACATTCACCCAATCATAAAGACCTCGGAAAGTTACTTAACTTTCCTGTATTACAAACTTTGAATTAAGTCAGCAAATCCAAACATCTTCCCATAAGAAAAGTCTTTGTATTAAGAACAACTGGTCACATAAAAATCAATAAACTCTTTTAGAAACACCTATTATAGATCTACATGGGTGTTGATAATTACTAATCATACTTTCATATATCCATGAAATGTTTATCAATCATTCTTGCTAAAATATGTCCAAGAGCATTGTGCAAAGTGAAGGACATAAAAACACACATAAAATATGATTCTTACATTCAAGAAGCTTACTGCCTGTTGGACCATATGTGTATGCTACTTACCACAATTTTTTTATCTCGGTACAGGAAAATGTTCAAAATAAAGTAAGCTGCAAGTCAGTTATAATTTATTAAAAGGCTAGAATTAAGCCACACATATTTAAGATCAATGAATAAATAATATTATAATCAAGCCAGGTGTTCAAAAAGCATTCAAGGTAAAAAGAATACACAGCCAAGCAGGTAAGAAATTTAATAGAGGAGGGGCTGGGAAGGTGGTTCAGTGGTAGAGCGCTTGCCTTGCATGCCTGAGGCCCTGGGTTCGATTCCTCAGCACCACATAAGCAAAAAGAAAA